AATCCTACTTCCGTAGTGATACTGCCTCAGAAACCCAAGGAGGGGTCGCTATGAGTCGGGGCCGACTCGACGGCACATAACAACAACAACAATAAAAAGAAATTAGATGATGTAGTCCACTGGGCAAATCAGCTTCAAAAGACCTCTTTAATGCGATGAAGAGCAAAGATGTCTCTTTGAAGAGTATGGTGTGCCTGTCCCAACCCGTAGTATTTTCAGTAGCCTCATATGCATGTGAAAGTTGGACAATGAATAAGACCAGTGAAGAGTTGATGCTTTTGAGTAGTGGTGTTGGAGAAGAATACTGAAAGTACCATACACTGCCAGAATAACTACCAAAATGCAGCCATAATGCTCCTTGGAAATGAGAATGGCCAGACTTGGTCTCACCTACTTTGCTCATGTTGTCAGAAGGGACTAGTCCCTGGAGAAGGATATCATGCTTGGCAAAGTGGAGGGTCAGTGAAAAAGGGGAAGACACTCAACAAAATAAATTGACACAGTGGCTGCAACAATGGCCTCAGGTATAGCAAGGATTATGAGGCTGGTGCAGGATGGGGCAGTGTTTTGCTCTGTTGTACACAGATTTGCTATGAGTTGGAGCCAATTTGGTGGCACCTAACAACAACATGCTTCCCTTGCTGCCAGTATAGGTTTCTATTTTCTCTGTTCAGATAAGTCTATAGTCTATCTGTTTCCTAGATTCTAAAATTGGGTTGCTGTCATACACTTGTCTACCCCTTTTGTTTATATAATTTTGTGCCATTTTATCCTTCTCCTGTCTTTTGAGTGGTGTTTCATAAGGAGCAAAGGGTGACCACTATGTAAACAGAAGACTCTCCCCAGTGTCATTAAGTGGCCATGGCAGGAAGATCTCTGCTGAGATCACTTGGGAGACTCTGCACTGGGAAAAGCAGTGTTGTCTAATCCCACACAGGCCTGCCTAGCCCAGCCTTGGTATTCCCTGATCTGCTTAGACCCCATTTCCTTTGTAATTAGAGAAAACACCTGTTTGCTTAAAGATCAAGCTGACTGAAGGACTACAAGAAGGAGGTGGCAGCCAGCCGAGGTACTCCCCTTACCTTCACAGCACTGAAGCAGAGTGCATGGAGTGCCGCAGCAGCCACACAGCTCCGGGTCACACTATACACAGCCGACAGCACCCCGGACACTGCTGCAAGACAAACATCTGTGGGTCACGTCTGGGTGGGCACTTCCAAAAGCAACACATGTAAAGCAGTGTAGAGAGGCTGTAGATGTCAAATACAAAATCCCTGCTAGGAGGCAATTATGGGATTAGTCAAATAACACTGGTTGAGTATCAGCACAAAGAAATACTGACCAGTTAACTAAAAATTAAGGAATGCATTTGGAAAGAACCTTTCACAATACTCTTTAAGAACTGTTTGAATGTGTAAGTGTGGATGTAAGGAAGAAAAAAGATCCTGGTTAGCAATTTCAATAGGCCAAAATGAAAGAGAAAAACAAAGAGTGTATGTAAGCAAATACTTATGTGTGTGTGCATGCATGTGTGCATGTACATGTGGTGCATGTCTGAGCATGTGGTTGTGCACACTTGATTGTGTGCGTGCACACACGTGCACTTATGTATGGTTATAGTGATTGTTTTAAGTACTTTATGTACATAATTTCATTTACTCCTTACAGCAATACTATAAGGTCAGCATTTTTATTTCCATTTTAAAGAAGAGTAAGCTGAAAAGTTAAGCAATCTGCATAAAGTCTCCAAGTAAATGTTAGATGAGATTTAAATCAAGCTTAGTCTGACTCTAAACTTCTGTCCAGTATACAAAATGTGAGAGTCTTGGAGATGGTTTTGGGATAGAGGTCACCTCTCTGTAAGGCACACATGCAACAAACATTTATATCACACACATATGTCCACACTACCTTCACAAATACATTTCCAGACTACTTCACACATGTCTATGCTCAAATATATGCTCACAACACATACCCACACACTCTCACACACATTCATTCACTAAGTATTTTTCTAAACAGCAGTTAAAAGAGCTCCACACCTATTTCAAAGCCCTGAGACCCTGTGCTCTTCACACACTTTGGTTGTGCCTTCACTCAACCACCAAGCTAAGTGGACTACTCTCAGTTTGGCTGAATGAATATGGATGGACCCACAATCAATCTGACTGACCAACACTGAGGTTGTTTAAATGCTTAGGACAAGGAACCCTAAGATGCTAGGATCTCATTCCATGCTCAAGGCTATATAACTTTTATCTCAACTATAGGTTCCTTCACAGGAATAACATCACTAGAGCTCCCTTCACAGTAATGGTAGAATGTGAACGACTTACCAGAGCCTCCAAAAAACAGCATGTCGATTTGTTCCAAAAGATGAATGCAGAAAGTGTTGATCTGTGGGAAAAGCCCAAGGAGGGAAATGGCAGGGAAGCAATATAAAAATGCTGAAAATGAAAAAGCAAAATTGACAATAAATGTATGATTAGTGCTGCAAACCTGCCCCCTTCCCTTCCAGATCATTCCTCCCTACCATGAATACTGGAGGATACACTCAGCTCTTTTCAGTGGGAGAAAAATCTGGAGGCTGAAATATGTTATTATTTCATTTTATCAAGAAGGAACTGATCCTGAGGAAAGGAGAGTAGACATGTGCAGAAATGTGCACAAACCTCAAGGATGGTGAGTAAGAGAATATACAGGTTTTGAGCTAGAGAGAGTAGAATTGGTTCTGGGGAGTTTGGGGTAGGGAAAAAGAGTATTGGGGAAGCTACATGAATATGTAAAACTAAAGGACAGTATTATGAGGATATCTTCCTGCATGGGAGAGGTGAGCAAAGATTGGAGATAAGGGGCCTTCTTGCTTTGTACATCTATAACCTCATACACTTGACTTACTGAGAGTATACTATATTCTAAGCACTGGTTGGTGATTTAGACCTCATAACTCACAGAGTAGTAAGGGAGTGTGGTAAATAAATAAGGAACTGCGGTATACTGTGATGGCGAGACATAAAAGTCTGATTCCAAGGTGGACCAGATCACTGATGAAGGTAGCCCTGGCAGAGGAGGGGAAGATGATGCTGCCTTCCATAATCATAAAAATAATATTGTGTAATTGGCTGAAACATCTGTAGATTATAATTCAATGTTTCACAAAGATAACTTGTTAGACAGAGAGAAAAGGAGTAGTAGAGCTGCATTTTACAGCAAATTCCTGATCACTCTTTTTTTTTCAATTCTACTTAAGTAGAATTTCATAGAAACACAGAAACATTTATTGGCTGTGCTATAATGTATTCATATTCCTTTGTATCTCAATTTATTGGGCAGAGTCCATGCTGGCTGAAAAAAAATGACAATGAAGTTTGATACCAGTAAACTCTAATAAAATTAAGGAAATATGATTTGAAATCTAATATATCTATACATTGAACCTATGTCCTAAAACCATATATAAACACCCACAGTGAACAGTGGGATTAAGGATAAAAGGGGAGTGTTTCAGCTATTTCCAAAAAATAGAAAATGCAAACTTTTCATAGTGAAATTTAGTGAATGATGGTATTTGTATGTTTCATTCTTTTTTAATAGTTGGTTAAAGGTAAGGACAAACCCCTATACAGTAACTGAGACACTGTTCCAAGTCTTTTTGAAAGTAAAATTTTGTGTAATGAATGTGGCTCTGATAAATGGGCCTTTGCTTGGGGTTAGAATAAAGTTTTGGGGTTAGAATACTTGTTAATTTGTTATAAACTCTTGTGTGGAAAGATTTTAACTATATTGTAAAAACCTAGATTATCTACAAGCAATTTGTTTCTCAAAGCAGACAATCAAATACTGCTCTGCTAGGCATACTGTATAAGACACAATTCATTTTCCCCCCATTACTGTGAATGGACCAGCCACTCCTTGGAAGGAAGGTTGGGCAATCTACTTCTATAGTGATACTGCCTCGGCAACCCAAGGAGAGGTCACTATGAATCGGGTCCGACTCAATGGCACATAACAACAACAACATTGTGAATGGAGTTACAGATATGAAAGGAAAGATAAACACATAAATATAAATTTATTTGTAGAACACATAGTCATGAGCATCAAAATTTTAATCTATACAATTTAAAAATGAACTGACCAGTCTCTCTTTGCTTAATTCTGGGACTCAAAACCCAGCAATGAAGATTATATCCTCCATGGTCAGGATAAAAGCAGAGGGAAGGAGGTGCAATGAGATTTCATCAGTACATCTCTCAAAGTGCTATGTATGGGCAAAAAACACACAGAAAATGAACTATAGGAAAAAATATGAATGTGAAATAATATGAAAGGCAGCCAAAATATTGGAAGCAGTTCAGTAAAACATGGGTAAAGAGGTAATTCACTGTAAGAAATACATTAACCAGTGAAACCAAAACAAATGGAGTGAGAAGAATCTGAGCACAATGAATAATGGCATGAGAAAAAAAAATGATAAGAGACCCCAGAAAGTCATAACCAGAGATGATCTGGCTGCATGTGCAGAATTAGAACTTAATGAAACAGCACGGGAAGAGCAGCAGTCGACAGGGAAAAATCATGCACTGCATCTTCCCCAGGATGTATTAAATGGTGAAATCTCTGGTCTATAAAAAAAAGAATAAGAGAAAAATGGAGTCCATGTATCATATTTGCCAGGTGACAGTTAATGTGAATGAAAAAGCAGTCAAATGCTTATTAGTACAGCCATTGGAAAACTACATTTGGAATTGCTGGAATTATTTGATCCTTTTTTCTAAAAATAAAACGAGTCCCTGTGGTTATTGGCAATTTTCCCTGTGAACAAACATGTTGTTGTTGTTAGAATACCACTGAACAGGTCTATAATTTACTCTCTCATTTTCCCTACTCATCTTTTTCCCTAATAATTACCATCAATGCAGAAACCTCTGGTACTGTTCCATTTCTTTTCAAGCAAAATTTATCAACAATATACTGGTAAGTTGCTTATTTATTTGGTAAATATGAGTAATGTTCATTACTACATTTGCAGGTTTTGGATGAAAGCACACAGAATTAATATAACATGGAAATAATACTGAAGCCTATAGAGTCAGTGTGAATGTATACATTCTATGTATATCAAAAGTGGCTAATCATGAACTACTGTGTCTTAATCATGGACTACTGAGGTCAAGGAACAAGTCTTTTTATAAAAGACATGGCAATGTGTGATCTGGGTGCTAAGAGAACAGTGGGCGTAATTTGGTAATTGGTTATAAAACTTCTACTTATCTCCAAGGGTTACATTGTTGAAGCTGCATTATCATGGGGAGAGGCTTAAGTCCTAAGGACTGAAATAAAACATAAAACTCTCAGATTTAAAAAAAAAAAACAAAAACTTAGAGGGCATTTGATACAGAATCCATCTAGTTCATTCAACTTTTTTATTTACGATGTTCCTGATGGAGGTCCATCTGATCTTGCCTGAACTCTTTCCTTGTCAGGGAACTTCTTGCTTCACTAGGCAACCCATTATACTGCTACACAGCTCAAACCCAAACCAAATTCGTGGTCTTTCTTGCATTGAACTGTATGTAATACACCTACCCAACCACTGGGACTAGTTATTACTGCTGCTACAACAGAGAATATAGCAGCCTTTTAATCATATAAAGCTACACGTGTACTCAACATCTTCTCTAGGTTGGACACCTCTATAGTCTTTTTAACAAGTTTCCAGACCACAGACCATGTGGCTGTGCTCCTCAGGGCACACTCTAATCTTGTCACTGTTCGCTTTTAAATATAGTACTAAGAATTGAAGACCTCTTGGCTTTCACGTCCCAAGGATAATTACAAAACCAGCCTCACTCATAGGCTTTTGCTAAAGCTACCCACATGGACAGTAATATAAATTCCAGCCCCAAGGCCCCCAGTCTGGGACTGAGTACAGGAAATGAGGCCTTTCCTTTATTCCTGGAAATAAAAATGAATATATTTTCCTTATAATGAAAGTAAGGTTTGCAGAATGATAGTCTGAATATGTATGAGAGATAATAAGAAAAGGAAAAATTCTTACCTCAGAATATCACTCTCAGTGTTTCTAGCTTCTAGATCTGCCACCATACCTATAAAAGCAACCACCCCTGCCACCTGCCTTCCTCTTTTGCTAGTTTCCACCTCCACATTCCTTCTATCTTGCCTTGTACTTTCCTCTCCGTCTATTATTCTATTATCTAATGTTTTCTTCTTGCCTCTGAGATGCTCCTCTAGGGCTTCTCAGCAATCCTTATGTTACATAAGACCAGGAATTTCTTTCCTACCTGCCCCATGTACATCTGCTACACCCCCTGCCCCTGTCCCAGGCATTCAGCATCTTTTGCTCTGAGAGGCAGAGCTTGGCAAGCTTGATTTTTGCTTGAAATTAGCAGATGCTGGACATTTCCTTGCTCCTCTCTTGCTCCTCATCCTGTCATCTCTTCCCCCTCTGAGACGTGTATAGCACTGGGCAGAAAGCAAAGCAGCACTGGGTGTTATCAAAAAGGTACAATTCTAGGAAACATGTCACATTCCCAGTACCAGCCACAGGACCACATCTACCCAACACAAAGGAGTGGCACCCTGACCCCTTCTGCTCACACTATGGAAACAATGTCACTTGTACTTAATTCTTGTTTCTCTCTTGTCCTTTTACTTAAATGTTCCTTTTGTTTCCTACTAACTTTGTGTTTTCTCTTACATATTTTTTTCTTCTCTCCTTGTTCTGCACTGGACCTCACAATGGCAGCTGCTAGTTACTATTTAGATCCTTTGGTAGCTGAGTAACAGGGGTGAAGAGGCTCCACAAAGAAGAGATGACTGAAACACCAATTTTTCCCTCATAAATTCAGAAAACAGTATAAGCTACTATCTCCTTCCTGTCTCTCATTTGTTTTAAATTTGTTCTACTATCTTTTCCTGCTCATTATAAATTATTATACTTAACATATTCACTCCATAGGGATTGCTATTGTTCTATTTTTCCATTTATCTTTACCCCAGAAATCATTTAGTTGGCTTGTTGGATTATTTATCTCCATTTTTACCTGTCACTGATGACAAGTAGACAAAAATAGGTATTAACAAGAAGCTTTAATGGGGGAAAGGGGATTCCAATGAAAAAACTAAGAAACTCATATCCCCTCCCCTCTCTTTTCTTCCTAAGGGAATGAATTCCAAGAAAAATATGAGAATTTGCATAGCCAGTAGCTTATTCTAGAACAAGGGTTACTGCTAAAAGTAAAACCTTATATATTTATTAGGTACATTAAGGTTTTACATTTTGAACCCTAATAATATTTCCAATTTTAATGCTATTATAAATTTGCCATGTGAAGATAACTAAATTTATTCAACAGTTTTAGCTTTTTTATAGTAGTAAATTAAAGAGAATCAGGAAGGAGGTGAGGCTCATTTATTTAAAAAAGAAAATTATAAATGTGATATATTCTTGTTGCTTAGGTGCCATCAAGTTGGTTCCAACTCATAACAACCTATAAATAACAGAATGCAATGTTGCTCAGTCCTGTGCCATCCTCACAATCATGGCTACATTGAGCCCATTGTTGCAGCCACTGGCCTATCTAACTTGTTAAGGGTTTTCCTCTTTTTGCCTGACTCTCTACCTTCTCAAGCATTATGACCTTCTCCAGGGATGGGTGTCTCCTGATAACATGTCCAAACTAAGTGAGATGAAGTCTTGCCATCCTCGCTTCTAAGGAGCATTCTGGCTGTGCTTCTTCCAAACAGAGTGTTGGTTCTTCTGGAGGTCCATAGTTTATATGTCCTGTTTTTTCTTCCTGAATCTCTTTATACAATCATCTGCAAAAGATGCTTCTTAACTCCCTACTTACTCTAAGGGCTTATTTGAACAGTCTAAGCATAACCATAAGCTTTCCCTGATTTATGAATAGGAAGTACTCCAAAAGCTTATTTGTACATTAATTTTATTAGTACTTCAAGCTTATTTTATGATCATAGTTCAACCATTCAACAAACATTTATTAGTGCTTAGTATATGCTAAGGATACTGGTGCTGAAGATTCAAGGAGCTCTGGTGGCACAGTGGTTACAAGCATTCAGGTGCTAACCAAAAGTCTGGAGGTTCAAACCCACCAACCACTCCACAGAAGAAAGAAAAGGCAGTCTGCTTCTGTAAAGATTTACAGCTTTGGAAACCTTGTGGGGCAGTTGTACCCTGTCCTATAGGGTCAGTATGAGTCAGAATCCACATGATGTCAGTGGGTTTGTTCATTTACTTGCTGAGGATTCAATGGCAAGAGAACAGGAAGGGTCTTGATTTTGTCTTTACAGAGCTTACTAGATCATGAGGGAGGGAAATACAATGAAACATCACAACTAGAAATAGATTACTACAAACTGCTTTGAGAAGAATGGATTGTGAGGCTACAAGATGGGATAAAATTTAGGGTAACAGAGGGTGTTAACTAGGCATAGTTAAGAGTGGGAGAGGCAGCAGAACAACTTCTAAGCTGGAGAAACAAAAGTGCAAGGATGAGAAGAGAGGCAGCTGGTAGTAAGGACTCAGGGTCAGCCACAAATTCTATAACCTGTACAAGGTGGAACTCTAACACTAACCCACACTCTAGATCCTGAAAAAAGATGACCATGAGGTACAGAATACTAAGTTCAGGGGGGAGAAGAAAAAGGCAACATTTTGACCTAGACAAATGTTTCTTAGACACTTTCCAAAATTTTTTATACTCTCCCTACCTCTAATGCCCGGGTCAATGTGCCCTTGAGCTCCTGACTCCAGCATTGCTATTTGGAAAAAGAAGACAAGAAGAAAGGATGGCACTCCAGAATATGTCAAATTGTGACCTGGAAGCTCTGCCTGACCTAGCCCTGATTTCTTCATTATAGCTGCTTTTAAATAGCAGTTGAGGGAGCTAATTTATGAGAAAGTAAAAACAATTGAAAGCCTTTCTTGTTTTATATGTATGCATGTGTATGTAAAATGTGTGTGAAGATATGTGTGTATGCATGCATGTGTATTTGTGTCTATGCGTGTGTTCATGTGTAAGTATATGTGTGTGTCTCTTTGTCCATGTGTGTGAATGTGTATGTGTGTGTGTCATTGTGTCTGTGTATGTATGTGTCTACGTGTATGTATCTGTGTGTTTGTGTCTCTCTATGTGTACATGTGCTTCAATTAAAAGGACTTCAAGTAAGATTAAAAAAGAAAGTAAAACATATTAGGAAGTATAGAAGAAAATATTCATGGGCAAGAGGACAGTGACTGATGGTCTCATTACAAGGTAAGTTGCTATTTTATCAACATTTTTCTTTGTTTCTTATTTGAACTCAGAAAGTCTCTGAAACATGGTGCCAAACTCATTGGTATTAAGAAGCTGCTCATTTCCTCACACGATTTACTAAGAAGCAAGATGTTGACGATGCTCACAAAAGTGGGTATAGGGTGGGTCTGGAAAGAGTAAATAATAATTTGCTGCCAATACATGAGGAGCTCTGGTGGCGTAATGCCTAAGGCATTTGACTACTAACAAGAAGGCTGGCAGTTCAAATTCACCAGCCACTCTTTGGAAGGAAGGTTGGGCAATCTACTTCCATAGTGATACTGTCTTGGAAACCCAAGGAGAGTCACTATGAGTCGGATCCGACTTAACGGCAGTGAGTTTGTTTTGTTTTTTTTTTTTTGGCCAATACATGAGGAACAAGAATGGGGAGGCTGGAATACCTATCACAGTTTTAACCGATAAGGAGCACAAAGAAAGCTGGGAGTCCTCTTCATTTTCATTAGGGAGGTTTGATGAGCTGTTAGAGGGCTGAGGAATGGATAATGTGGGACCTAAGGCTTTGACAGTCTCCACTTGATTGAACATCTGGCCAGCAATATAAAGATGGTGTCCTTAGTAACTGCCTTTACGTGTCAACACAAGAATTTTCAGGGACTCAGCAGTTAGATATTCAGAGCTTTGGGTTCACAGAGCAGTAGCTTTTGCGTATAAAACAATAATAATAGCTAATACTATGTGCCACACACTGTTCTATGTATTTTAGCATACTGTCAGTAAAACCCTGCAAACCCTATAAGGTGGGCACTCTTATTGTCCTCATATTAAATCTGAAGAATTTTGCTCAAGAGTAAGTATCTTGCAAGTAGAATGACTGGAATTCAAACACAGGTAGTCTGGATCTGAGTTTACCTTCTACGTCATTACCATATGCAGGTCATTTGTTTAAATGAAGTAATTTATATTAAGGACTGTATATAAAGGGTGGAGGACCTTTCGGTAAACAAAGTATACTAGCAGAAGAGTGGGTGATCAGAATTTCCAGGACTCAATATGGAGAAGAATCATGACAACTCATGTGTTACCAGAGAGTCTGTGCTGTGCACAGTGTGCTGGGGTTGCCCCACTAATGGCAAGTCCAATCCCACCAACACCACTCACCAGGCCCCACAGCAACCAAGCTTCAGGCATTACAGTGCTGCAACTTTTGGATAGTAGATATTCAAATCCTTTACAATAATTCCATTGTTGGATGCTTTGGGGCTCAGGCTCCCAGATAGTTTCTAATGATGTGCAAGCCAAGATGGAGATGTGAATCTCTTCATCCAATAAGAAAGTAAGCAGGTTTCTCCAAGCTGGGGTCCAGAAGATAAAGATGAAACAGATCTTCCTTGTCCCCCCGCCATAACCTTTCCCATAACCTGGAATCAACTCACCTATTAAGTGATCCCTAGCTGATTGCAGGGACCCTGGAGAGAAGAGCTTCAGGCCATAGACAACATAAGTAGGAGGGTGCCTGGCTTTGGCCCCTGTGTCAAGAAGCAAAATAAGGCCACACAGCACACAAAAATAGATTGGTCTGCTATATGTTATGATCTGGTTGTATCCCTAGAAAACAAACATAATTTCTGAATGATACCTTTTATTTTGATTAAATGGCAAAAGCCTCATTGTCAATAGTTATATGATATCATATAACTTATACTATGTAATACATTCTCCGCTTTCCCTTACCAGAATACATATACACAAAGCACCAGGAAAAGAAAAAAAAAAAAAAAAGTCTGCTGCTTATTCTTTTACATCAGAATAAGAGTATCAAAAAGAATGCTTTGCCTCTCAGACAAGATTTACCTGAAAATTTAATAATAATTTTTGGAGAAAGCCTAGATCTAATTCAATGCTTCCCCAACAGTGAAACTTACATTCATACTGCTCATTTCAACTGTAAAACTAATTTAAATCATTATTTGTTCTATATGGTCTAACTTGAGCTCCACTATTAACAAGAAGTAATATTATAAAGCTATGGGTTTCAATTTCCTACTGTCTTAGAAAGCAAAACAATACAGCTACAAAATTATACATGCAGAAATTGTATAAAATGTCTCAGTGTAGCACAGTGGAATGATCCAATTAAAAAAAAAATTGAATCTTGTTATTTATATAATACTTTCCTACAGAGAGTATTAAATACCTAACAGATATCATCTTAGCCTTCACAATATTGTTCTTAGGAAAAATACAAATACTTTTAATTCTTTCCCTTGAATATATGTAAGAACTATGAAAATGATATCATATCAATATTCCAGAGCAAAAGCCAATGAAGAATTTTCATCTTACCAAGCAATGCACAATTCATTAAGAAAAAAACACAACCAAAACAAACAAACCAGCAAACCAACAAAACTGAATCAGGGGAGAGTATTCTTTGCAATTCATGAACTACCCCAAGTATAAAAAGTAAAGATTAAAGTGATACAGCTTCATATTTGAATTTTAAAAGTCATTCCCTTGGACATGTTATATTTAGAAAGGCAATTTAAATCTGCATTGCTTCTGTAATTGAAGTACTCACTGAGCCTGTTCTTTAATAGGAGAGAAAACATAGACTGTCCCCAGATGCTGTCTGTGTTTGGCCCTGAGTCTAGGCTCAGTTTTGAAGGAATATTTGCATTCTTATGAAATTTCCTCTTGAATCCAAGCAAGTCACAGTTTAATGAGTATGGAATACTTTCTCTGCATTTAAAAACCTATTGAAACTTAAGCCTAACCTAAATCTAAATGCATTCCTTACCAAACAAAGAACAAATAAATTTGTTGGTATAAATATTCAACATAAAAATATGTCTGCATATAAGATATTGTCTCAAAATGACACCTTTTAGGATATGTAATTAAATAGTTAAACCTCTCTTGTGCTGGTTCTTTCTTTCAGTGGAATGTTAAAAGTACACTACCTAGGAATTGAAAGTCTTTGGCCTTCAGCAAGCTTGCGATATTATTTTGAATCTTGCAAGTCAAAGTTTAGTTAATGGGCATAGAAATGCTTTCTTTGTATTTGTAATTCATGAAAAATTCAGACTCACTTACAAAGAACCTGCCTTCAACATCATGTTTATTATTTCATACTTACTTTTTCATACTATGTTTTGGGTCCCCAAACTATTCTAAGCATATCGCTTATAAACCAAACCAAACTCATTGCCGTCGAGTTGTGTTTGACTCATAGTGACCTCTCCTTGGGCTTCTGAGGTGGTATCACTACAGAAGTAGATTGCCCTGCCCAACCTTCCTTCCGAGGAGTGGCTGGTGGGTTGGAACCATTAGCCTTCTGGTTAGCAGTCAAATGCCTTAGGTGCTATGCCACCAGAGCTCCCCTATCATTAATACATAGCATTAAAAAAAAAAAAAAAAGTTTGCTATCAAGTCAATTCCAACTCATGGTGACCCATACTTGTTACAGTACAACTACTCCATTGTGTTTTAAAGGCTCTAACCTCTCAGAAATAAATCACTAGGCCTTTCTTCCAAGGCACCTCTAGATGGACTCAAACCACTAACTTTTCAGTTAGTAGCAGAGCACTTAACCATTTGCACCATCCAACGACTCCATATGTGCCATATAAGTTATGTGTATTTGCCTTGATTCCTATGAACACATAGTCAAAATTTTCCTGCTCTCTAGTGAATTAGTCATCATAACCTACAAGGATTTCTTTTTATTTTTTCAATAGGAAAAATTCCACTTGCTCCTCCAGACCAAATCTGATCATGTTCTTTAAAAAATTCATTGGACCATATTCCCATCTGTTTTTCATACCCTGACAAAACACTGTAGGGAGCACCAAAGATTTCATCTGGGGTGCATCTTGCAAGGCAATTTCACAAAAGCTTATTTATGTGTGCTTCTGGGTTTTCCATTATACCCACCTACATATACAATTTCATGGCCACATTCTAGTCACAGTGCAATAAAAGCGTAAGTGGAAAAAGTCTCACACCACCTCTGGGGACCCCACCTGTGGGACAGAGACACTCGTGGGCTCAGTGAGGAAGCCCTTCTGATTATCCTCATATGAATAAAGGGGCTACTTCCAATTTTATTGTTAAGGAAACAAAAAGCTTTAGTTATAAGGAAAGGAAAGTGTCTACCAGACTCCTAGAAAACTCAAAGGCTAGAGGGCAAGGGCATTGAAAAGGCAGAACTGGAGTTGTAAAAGCAGGTACCAGGCCCATCACCCATCTTGTCTCAGCCTCACTGCACAGTCAGCTTTCTGCAGATTGTCTTTCTGCTTCCTTATCCGCAGCTGGAAGGAGCTGCCTGCCATTGACACAGCTTACACTTTTTCCCATCCTAACCACATTCAGAGACTTGGATAAACCAGCAACTATTGCTAAAATTTATTCTGGTTTAACCATGTGCCCAGCACTATTCTACTTGCTTTAAGTGTATTCATATTGTTCATCCTCATAATGCCCTGAGGAGATACCATTATTCTCTTTTTGACAAGAGTAAATTGAAACCAAAAGAGATTTGCCCAAGGCATCACAGACAAAAGACCCTGCCTCAGAGCCAAGATCTGACCTCTCGCTGTCTAGCCACTGGTCTTGCTCTCAGTAGCTGTCCTGCCCTGCCCCCAGAACAAGCAGGGGGACATGCACTGGGCATTGGATCCTTGTAGGCTTTGTCAATTGAATTTCACTCATATTCCTCATTCCTTAAACACACAACATAAATGTTACTTATGATGTGAAGCAAATATAGAGTATGGAGAAAGCATGTAGTAGTAGCTTTGGTGTTTTAACTTTTCCTAAAAGGTCTCCAGTTGGTGAAAAAGTCTCATTACCTGTGGAGTATGCAGAAACACAATAAATGCTCTGTTCAGTCCCTCTCTGATTGAACCTTAATGTTATGTTTGCCTACATTTAACACTAATCAATGGAATAAGGATTTGTTGTTTTTTTATACTTTCTTACCACAGAGTAGGTTGCTGTCATTAGGTGTGTTCGAGTCAGTTCTCACTAATAGCAACCCTAAGTACAACAGAACAAAACACTGCCTGATCATATACTAGCCATCCTCATAATCATTGCCATGCTTGAGCCTATCCTTGCAACCATTGTATCAGTCCATCTTGTTGAAAGTCTTTGCCTTTTTTCGTTGATTTTCTACTTTACCAAGCATGCTACCCTTCTCCAGGGACTGGTCTCTTCTAATAATATGACCAAAATATGTGAGATAAAGTCTAGACATTCTCACCTCTAAGCAGCATTCCAACTATATCTCATCCAAAACAGACTTGTTCATTCTTCTGGCAGTCCATGATATTTTCAATATTCTTTGCTAACACCAAACTTCAATTGCATCAATTCTTCTGAGGCCTTCCTTATTCATTGTCTAGATTTCATATGCATATGAGGCTATTAAAAATACCAAGGCATGGGTCAGGCACACCCCTTAGTCCTCAAAGTGATGTTTTAGCTCTTTAACACTTTAAAGAGGTCTTCCGTGGTACATTTGCTCAGTGCAATATATCCTTTGATCTCCTGACTGCTGCTTCCATGGGCACTGACTGTGGCTTCCATTAAAATGGAATCAACTTCAATCTTTTCTCCATTTATCATGATGTTGCTAATTGGTTCAGTGTGAAGATTTTTGTTTTCTTTACATTGAGACTATCCATATTGAAGGCTATAGAGTATGATCTTCGGTAAATTCTCTTCACTTTCAGCAAGCAAGGTTGTGTCATCTTCATATTGCAGGTTGTTAACGAGTCTTCCTCCAATCCTGATGCTGCATTCTTCTTCATATAGGTCAGCTTGTCAGATTATTTGCTCAGCATAAAGAATATTAATGGTAAAAGGATACAACCTTGAACCACAGCTTTCCTAATTTTAAACCACGAATTATCCCCTTGTTCTATTCAAACAACTGCCTCTTGGTCTTTGTACAGGTTCTTCATGAGCATAATTAAATGTTCTGGAATTCACATTTTTCAAGATGTTATACATAAATTGTTATGATCCACACAGTTGAATGTATTTGTATAGTCAATAAAACACAGGTAAATATCTTTCTGGTATATGCTTTCAGCTAAGATCTATCTGATATCACAACAATATTCCTCATTCCACATCCTCTTCAGAATCCAGCTTGAAGTTCTGGCAGTTCCCTGTCAATATACCATTTTTTATTATTTTCAGTGAAATTTTATTTGTATGAGATATTAATGATATTGTTCAATAATTTCCGCATTCTGTTGGAACACCTTTCTTTGGCATGGGCATATATATAGATGTCTTCCAGTTGTTTGGCTGGGTAGCTGTCTTCCACATTTCTTAACATAAACAAGTAAGTGTCTCCAGCACTGCATCCAGTTGCTGAAACATCTCAGTGAGTATTTGGTCAGTTCCTAGCTCTGGTAGCATAGTGCCTAAGACATATGACTGCTAACCAGAAGGCTGGTAGTTCAAACTCACCAGCCACTCCTCAGAAGGAAGACTCAGTGATCTACTTCCATAATGATACCTCCTCAGAAACCTCAGGAGTGGTCGCTGAATCAGATCCAACTCAGCTGCAGTGAGTTTGGTTTTTTTTTTTT